AACCAGAATATTTCAGCTATTAAAATTGCTTATACTTATAGCAGGCTTGTGCTTTCTTCCATTATAACCAGGATGAGCACCTGGCCTCTGCCTAATGCTATTGTTCTGTCTTAGTATCTCAAAGGACAGCATTCCCGATGCTGCTATTTTAGTTGCTTTGCCAAAATTCATGATGAGATCAAAGGAAAATGTTTCCAGCATTTACAGTAAGAAAGAACAACTAATGAGAGTCTTAATATGATATGAAAATGAGAAATTCAAAGAACTGGAGAGGCTCCAGAAGATCCCTGGAGAGTAAGGGTAGGTTGATAACCCTGTTAGACCAGCGGAGAGGCATGTCTCCCTGAACACGGCGCAGTTAAAAACAATGAGGAGCTGCGGGCGGAAACCATGAAAATTATCAAAAGAATAAGTGTCATAAGGTAGATATGGGAGTTACTTTTCCTTTTGAGAGATAAGAAAAAAATATTTGTTGGCATATCTTTCTGTAACATGGTTAATTAAGCTTATATCAACTTTTAACATGGAAAATTGTAGTCAAAATTGTATGTAGTCCTTTCTAAGACTAAGGGCACAACCAGGGTTATATTTTTTATCCATAAGTAGTCACCCATGTAGTGCAATATCAAGAACATACAGAAATACACTTTCCAAGTCCCTGGAATTTATACCCAAAAAGAATATAACATTGCTTAAAATGCGATCAATTTCTTTTTTTTTTCAAATAATGTGCAAGCCATTTCCCGTATGGTTCAGTGTTTGGGATCTGGAGAAGGGCCGTGCTCAAATGACAGAGATGAGACAAGAAATAATAATTTGGAAATATTGGGGGCCAGGTGGGAAGCCTGATGCAAGGGGAAGGACTTCCACTGGTGCCCAGGCCTTGCCAACCTTTTATCCAATTTTGGATACACCTATAGCCAGGCAGGCAATTCTGGTAACAGACAGACTGTATTAAAGGTCAGTAAATATTAGCAAAGAATTACTCTAAGACTATTTGGTCAGGAAATTGCTTGAGCAACCATTGTCTCAACTAAATAATTGGTGCATAGCTCTGGCCCTTGCAAGGGCTCAAGGTTCTCCAGCGTTCACAATCCTTGTTAGCACTTCTCTGATAGTGAAGACAATGGGTATCTTCCAACAAGATAAAATATATATTTTTTTATTGATTTCAGAGAGGAAGGGAGAGGGAGATAGAAATATCAATGATGCAAGAGAATTATTGATCGGCTGCGGATAGAGCCTGCAATCCAGGCAGGTGCCCTTGACTGGAATCAAACCTCATGCCTCCATCCCCAGGCCAACACTCTATCCAATAAGCCAAACCTTAAGGATGGGAACAATTTCTTTTTTAAACAAGTGTTACTGATTGATTTCAGAGAGAGAGAGAAAGAAAGATCAATTTGTTATTCCACTTATTTATGCATTCATTGGTTGATTTTTGTATGTGCCCGGACCCAGGATGGAATCTGCAACCATGGTGTATCAGGACTACACTCTTACCAACTGAACTATCCAGCCAGGGCAAGTTTGAACACTTCCTAAGTAGATAATATCCTTTTATTATTAAAAACTTAAGCAGAAACAATTCCATCCTTCCTAAGCATCTATTAGTTCAACAGAAATGTCCCCTTAATATCTAAATTACTCATTAGAGTAATGACTGAGAGAGAGATACTTTTTGTTGCACAAGATAGCAAGATTGAAAATAGTATTTCTCTCTCTCTCTCTCTCTTTCTCTCTCTCTCTTTCTCTGTCTTTTACCATATGATTCTATTTTTTTAAGTACCTAAAGCAAATTACTAGAAATAGAAAGAAGAACACTGTTTGCCAAAGGCAGGGGAAAGAGGAAAATAGGGAGAAAAACGTGATTTTAAATATACCTGGCAATCATTTGAGAGCCTAAGAGTGTGTTGCTTAAGAAGTACTCTGCAGCCCTGACCGGTTTAGCTCAGTGGATAGAGCGTCGGCCAGCAGACTGAAGTGTCCCAGGTTCGATTCCGGTCAGGGGCATGTACCTTGGTTGCGGGCACATTCCCAGTCGGGAGTGTGCAGGAGGCGGCTGATCGATGTTTCTCTCTCATCGATGTTTCTGATACTCTATCCCTCTCTCTTCCTCTCTGGAAAAATCAATAAAATATGTTTAAAAAAAAAGAAGTACTCTGCAGAGGTGTAATAAAACTGTATTGGTACAAGAAGTATGTCCCATTTAAGGTTATGGAAGAGTGATCACACACATTCACATACTATTCTGGTTCTTTTGGTTAAACTCTCAAATAACTGCTCTCTCTACAATGTCCAAGAATAAAACAACATTTTTCCAAAATTGAAAAGAGTATTTCACTAAGACCATTTTTGCCTATTGTGTATTCAGAGGAGGAAGTATGGAAAAGGAGATGACAGCAAAGTTGTCAATTTTTAGTTACTTCATAGTTTGTTCTACTTATTGCCCTTTTTATAGCCCTAGAGTAATTGGGGGGAAAATATTTCTAAGATAAATAAAATTTAAGACAAAGCAACGATTATGTAAACCATAGTAAATTTTTAGCATACAATTTCATTTTGTTAGCCTTAAATAAATACACAGCAGGATATTTCACCAGAAAATAGATTTATTTGGGAACAATAAGAAATAACAATTTGGTATTCAACATTTAATTTCATTTTTGTTGCTGTGACACAACGGTGGTGTCATTTTTGGATTAAAATGTTGGATTTCTTGTTAATATATTTAAAACTGTAACCAGTAATAACACCCTTAATATTTTTATTACATATGATATTTTATTTCAATAAATTTAAATATTTAGACCATAAACAATTGCAATTTGGGGCATGTGATCTAATGGCCAAACTTTCGCTCATCCGAAGAAACAAAAGAGAGGCGGTTCTTTTATAGAGAAAAGTGGGAATTCAGATGGGTTTTTGTAAACAAAAATTCCATGGCAGTTTAACATCTAGTGGCTTTTCTTTGGCTGATTTTTAACAGCTTTTCATTGGCTGAGTGATTGCCTATTGAGGAAATCTTCCTTCTTCCTGTTAGGAGAGTGGAATAGAAAAACATCTTGTTGGAGGTAAGACCATGAGTGGTAGGGTGTGATCTTCACCTACAGACCCTCCCAGCGCTAATTTCAATGAGGTTTCTGTTTATTAATCTTTATAACTTGCATATAAGAAAAATCATTAATAACTTGATCTTATCTAACAAAAGCAAAAATAGAATTTGCATAGAGAAAGAGAATGAGGGGGTTTGAAAAAACCTCAGAGAGTTGGGAAGCAAAGCACTATTTTTCTTTCCTTGTATAAGCTATTGATTGGTATAAGGCTCAGAAAGAGATCACTCCTTTGGGAGTAGAAGGATCATCTGAGGAATCTGTTTTCATTGTTAATCTATTTCTTAAGAAACCTTGAAGGTTTAATACATGAGGTAAGTATACGTGGCAGACTGTCATTATATAATGTTGGCGGGTAACTTTATATTATGTTTCCATCTTAGGGGTGTCCACTCTGCATCATTTCCCTTATTTGAGTTGTGTGTTTTTTTCATAGATTCACAATCCCATTTTATTCAGTGAAGGAAAAAGTACCAGGAAGCCTAAAGATTATGTACTCAGATAGGACATATTTTCATAGTTATCACTGTACATAAATAATTAATGATGGTTAATGACAAGGAGCAGTTAGAAATAGAGTCGCTTCCTCTTACTAAAGACTATACATAATGCTCAAAAATAATATTAACAAAATAAGACTCATAATACAAGAAAAAGAAGCCAGTTAACATTCTATTCATCCTTTATGTGTATCTGAAATTATAATGTAAATTTAGAAATTAAGTGGTTACAATGATATAACGAACAGCACCAACTGGGAGGGAGATGTGGATATATGTGATGATGTCAAGTTTGGGCAATAACTTTTCTTAACTGTCTGGGTGGATCTCAAATATTAATATGCATATGAAACTCTTGATTATCATACCAACATTATTCTAACTTTTAATTTCTCCACTGTCACCTAACCCCTCTTTCCCAGTGCCTGGCTAAAATTAACTACAGTGAATATTTTTGTATAACTTTAATGAGTTTTAAAATAAAGAGTCTAGCCTTGTGCTTCACAGTAATGAAGTTCCTGTAGGTGTTAGAAACTCAGTAGGGAGGGGTTGGAAGTGAAAGTCAGGTTGCAGAGGCTTAAAGTCTAAACTAAGTAGAGGTAGGAAGAGAAGGTAGAACTACTACTCTCTTTTTAAAGAAATTAAATACATAATGCAAAAGGCACCACCTGGAGACTATAGTTAGTGATATTAAATGTAATTTTAGCTTCGGAATTTTGAGAGAAAAGGTACCAGAGTCAATTAATTGAAAATAACATGAGTGCATCTAAAGATACTCCTTTGCAAATATCTTGAACACAATATTTCTGACACTATAGACAATGTAATTAACCATCAAATCATCTTAGGGCTAAGAAGAAGGCATAAAAGTAAAGAAGAATAAACAAAGAAAAATCTAAAGATTTATTATTATATTTTGTTTTCCAGGAGAAATGCAGTTTACTCTTAAAACAATCCCTTGATTGGGACAATTGAAGAGAATTCATGTTCTTAACCATTTGGATATGTCCTATATCTAAGGTTTATCTTGGATAAAGAAGGCTTAAGGAACATCATCACTTTTTCTAACTTATTTGTAAATCCAATTCATATAATGAATTATACTAAACTACATTTATAAATTTTGAGGAGTAAATAATGATCTGAGAAAAAGTAGGATTATTTAACAATAACAGGAATCCTGAAGGAATAATCTCTTGCTCATACTAGTAATATTATGGAAGTTTATTGGAATAGTGGCAATATTGATTATGATGAGAAAGGAGAAAATAAATGTAGACTGCTTTGCTTGGTTTTTAAATATTGTCTTTTACTACAGAATTTGAATACCTATGTCGTCATAAAATCTATTTTTACATGCTGACTGGGTAGATTTCAAAAGTCAGTGATGGGAAACCACACAGCAGTAACAACGTTTATCCTGCTGGGACTAACCAATGACCCACAACTGCAAATTCTGCTTTTTGTCTTTCTATTTCTCACCTACATGTTCAGTGTGACAGGGAACCTGACTATTATCACCCTCACACTGCTGGACTCCCATCTGCAAACTCCTATGTACTTTTTCCTCAGAAATTTTTCC